CAGCACTCCTGGGCAGTCATCCTGGTGACCCTGTCCTCAAGCAGAACCCTCTTACAAAAGGGTTGGTCTCAACTATTCAGCAGGACAGTAGGTGTGACAGTGGCTGCGGGGATGTCAGCAGGGAGTCCTGGCCCAGCACAGCCTGTGCCTGTGGGTACCCCTGGCAAGCGTCCTTAGCTCCAGCCCTGAGCTGGGTTGTCCCCATGGCCCTGATCCAGGCATCCTGATACCCAAATGGGACCTTGTCTCCCCAGGGCATGGGTACCCCCTGCTACATGGCCTGTCAGTCCAGGGCTTGAGTCTAAGAGTAGCACCCCTAGGTAGGCCCTATCCCTTTGCTCAGCCTGGTCCAAGGGAGGCTGGTGTACCTCCTTTCTCTTCCGGCTCCCTGGCAGTGTGGGAGCACAAGCTGCCCCTCTGGAGTGGCCCCAAACATTGCCACCCCCATCTGAGCAGGCAGCCCCAGCTGGTCCTTTCATGTGACCCAGAGACCCTGGGGCAGCTGCCAAGGGCCCCTGCTAGGAAGTATTGAGTGCCCTCAGGAGACTTCCCTCTCAGTGAGGGTCAGAGAAATCCAGTGGGGACCCCAGCTTCAGTTCCATCCTTGCGCCTACCCTAACCCCAGATCTGACCTCAGCCCCGATCTCCTGGCCCAGCCCGCGTGGTCTCTCACGCCAGCCCCTGTTCAAGCCATTCCGTCCACCCTGAATGCCCACCCTCACAGCCTGCACACTGCCGAGTCCGGCCTCCTCCCACTTCCTAGGTTAGATGAGGAAACCCAGGCGGAGCGAGGCATGTGCCTTGCCCAAGGCCGTAGAGTAGGGGCAGTGAGGCTCAGGGTGGGTTGTCCCTTTCCCAGGACGCTGGGCCTTGTGTTCCTGGCTGAGATGGGCCAAGTGTCCGCGTGTCCCTGGACCAAAGCTTAGCAGCTCTAGGGGCTGGTGACAGTTCCCTGCCAGAGCAGGTTTGGAGGAGAGGCAGAGAGCGCCAAGGTTTTGGCTCCTTGACAGCTATTCTCAGTTGGGAGGGGCCTGGGAAGGGCACTTAGGGGCTGGCCCCAGCCTTGCTGACCGGGCCTCAGTAAGCAGGGACAGTCCAGAAGCCCAGCCCACAAAGCGGTCATGTGCCTGTGAGGAGACAGGTGGTGAGCTGGGCAGACGTGGGCCGGGTGTCCGTGGCACTGCGGTGGCCTTGCCTCCTTCCAAATGGAGGTTGGCGCTGTGGGTAAGGCAGCACAGGAAGGAAGAACCCCAGCACCTCTCTGTGACAGGGGAACTCTAGAGGTTTCCAAGCAGCCGCCTCCCACCCCGCTGCAACCAGATCCCAGGGGCGCATTCTCAAATGCACATTCTCTGACCCTCCAGGGGAGGCTGGGGCAGAGCGCAGGAACCAGTGTCTTTGCCGCTTCCCAAGCCCCAGCATGTGGGCAGTGCTCGCCCTGTTGCTTCCAGGGGCCTGGCCAGCCTCAGCGTCCTTCACCTTTCTGCAGAGGCCCCCTCCCTGCGCTTCTGGTTCCAGGGTCATGACCCCTTGCTGACTGTCCCTGGGCCTCATCCCACAGAGGGCCAGCCTCAGGCCAACCCTCAAGTCCTGCGCACTCCTTTCCCCTTCTTCCTTCTCATCCATCGTCCACCCACCCTAAGGCCCACAGTCCCCATGGCATTTGTCCCCCGCCATTGACCTCCCCTGACTCGGCGGCTCTGTGTCCCGGGCCCGCCTCCCAGCCACCACGACGGCCACCACCCAGCTCCCCGCCCGTCGGCGGAGGGCGGCTGCTAGGCCAGGCTGTCATTTTCCCTGCTGGGGATTATAGGTTTGGGGCTGAGGGAGTCTGAGCTGGAGGAGGAGGAGCCGGGACGCTCACCCTGGTGCCAGTCCCTAGAGACACCTCACGGGTAGGGCAGCCTGGTGTGGAGTGCTCTGTGGGCTGGGATGGGGATTCCTGTAACCCACCCCCTCCCACAACCAGTTTGGCAGCCTCTTTGCCCTGCCCTGGCCCATCCTCCCACCTGTAGGGGTGGGGCAGCAGGAGAATTGGCTGGGCGATCACAGACCTCCAAGAGGACCCAAGTGCTGGGTCCCCCATCGGGTGGCGTGTGCTGCAGTCACCACGCTGGCTGTTGGGGAGGCTCTACGGAGCAAGGTTTGGAAAGAAAGCGTATATGCCTTTTATGCTCCACAGTCACAGTGCCCCCCGGGGCTGGGTTTGGAGGGGACAGCGTGAGCTAGACTCAAGAGTGTGTCGGCTCTGGTTCTGGGTATGCAGAAGCTGGTAACATCTCCTCGTGGTTCACAGCTGTGGGGACCGTGATGGGGTTTAACACCACTGGGATGACCCCAACCAAACCCAAAGCTGGGTCCCCTCTGGGGGAAATACCATGAGCATCTGTGCGCCACGGACAGGGTCCAAAGACCTTAGTGGGGTTTGAGGATTTGAGGGAACACAGTGGAGTGGTTCCCAGAACAGACTGGAATCAGACTGCTTGTGCTGGGATGCCAGGTCAAGTCACATAACTTCTCTGAGCCTTGCCTCTGCATGTGACGTGTACTGAAATGAGACAAACCTTAAACACTTGGTATAGGACGAGGTACATGGGACGAGTTCAAGAGACGTTTTCTAGTGTTCTCCCTCTCAGTTCTATAGGTGCTAACAGGCCCTGCTCCCCATCTTCTGAGCAGTGATGACCAGAGTGAGAGGGCTGATTGGGTGATGGGACCCACTGGAGGGTGGGAGATGGCTGGCCTGTGCCTGGTGGGGCTTCCCTGGGGCCAGGTCACTGGGTTTCTGATAAGCAGGAGCAGGTCACCCTAGGTCGGTGACCACTCCCAGGGCTGAGCTGGCTGGACTGCTGGCCACCAGAGGGACCTCTGCAGAGCTAACCCACAGGTGGCCAGGGCACCTGGGGCCCTTTCCAGGAGCAGAGGCTGCTGGGAGGCCTGCCTGTTCTTGGGAATTCATGGCATGTCTGCCTGTCACAAGTGCCTCAGCAGGGAAGATTTGTGGGTGAGCTTTGCAATTCTGTTTTCTCGGTGGGTTATAAATCAGCTGCGTGCACGCCCTGGATGCCGCCGGTCTGAGGTGCACACGTGTGCACACCCACGTCCATGCACAGAAACGTGGTCCAGGTCCTGCCTGCCATTCCCCAGGGTGGGAGAAGGTGCTGTCTGGGGAGCCGAGCTTGAGGAAGGGAAAAACCCAGGCCTCTACTCGCAGGACCCCAGAACTCTCCAGAATCAAGGACTCAAGGCTGGGAGGCAGGATGTCCCAGTGGTTGGAGAAGTAGCATACCTTATGCATTAGTGTGAACTCAGGAGTCTGCTTGGCTGGCTGCAAACCTTGTCCCTACAACTTACTAGCTGTGTGCCCCTGGCCATGTTGCTTACAGAGCTCTGTGCCTTGGTTTCCATATCCGTGAAATGGAGCTAATTGTCGCATGAACTTCATAGGGTGTTTGAGAGAATAAAAGAAGTAAATGTGTGTACAGTGCTTAAAACAAGTCAGGTGCATAGTGAGAGCTCAGGAAGGCCTGGCTATCGTCATCTTCACCATCATCAGTTAAGAATATACCTAGATTTTGGCATAGACGGGGGCTTGAATTCTATCTCCGCCTCTTGCTCACTGTACGAATGTGGGCATGCTTCTGAGCCCTCAGTCCTCATCCATAAAGTGGACTGTTACTACCTACTTCATAGGACTGTCTGGCCTTAAAAGAGATAAAGCTCTTTTGCAAAGGATGCACTGTGAGGCCCTCAGGAAACGTCAACCAGTGCTACGTCTGGCTTGAGGTAGAGCGTAGAGACTGGAGCCTCTGAGTCGGAGCCTCCCAGTAGCTCTGCTCTGGGGCCAGGCTTCCTGGAGAATGTTTAGATGCAGGGGGGATGGGGGGAGGCTCTGGGGAGGGGAGTGGAGCTGAGGGGAGGGGAGAATTCCAGGAACTTCTGTCTCCCTTTTGCCACCAAGGGAGTAAACCGCTAGCCTGGGCGACTCTCCTCCCCCTGCCCCTGTCACTCTATCCACCCCTCTCCTGAGAACAGGCTTGGAGACTGGCAGGTGTGACTCACGGCTCTGCCACTCACTTACTGGGTGGCCTTGGGCAGGTCACTTGACCCCTCCATTCCCTCCAGCCGGGAATAATTGTGTCCGCTTCCCCCGGGAACTGGGGAGAGAGTTCAGTGAGACAGTGCGTGTGGCACAGGGCGCCGTGGGGTAAGCGCTCTGCAGATTCGATCACTGGCTCCTCTCTGTCTCCTCTCCTCTCCTCCTCCCACTCACCCCCACCCCTCCCACACCTGATGCGCGGGTGGCATCTTCCCAGTCCAGACATTGAAACGTTTCTCTCTGGGAAGCCGGGCTCTAAAATCCACGAGGCGCCTCTGGAGCCACGTGAGTGAGCCTGGAGGCAGGGAGGTGACAGGAAATTCAGATCCTCTCTCTTCTAACGCAGTTCCCCTGTGCCAGCCACACAAGGCTGAAGCGTGCTGGACCGTCGGTCAGCCACCCACCCCAGATCCTTTACTGCTCCCTTGAGGTCCTCGGGTGCTGTCAAAAGCAGCATTTTTTACCTGCTCAGCCATAAAGCCCTGGAAAGCGGTGATGTGAGGATGAGTAGCTGCTTGCACCAGTGCCGAGGAGAGAGACAGGGACCGGGGCGCACGATTTTGCAGAGCTGACATTTTTGCACCTCTCCCACCCAGCTCACTGCCTGGGCAGGCGGGACAGTGAGACCTTGGCTGCGGATCATTGTCGGGAGCATCCCAGGCCAAGCCTTGGTCTCCCGGCAGAACTCTGGAGGCTGGACTTCTCTGTTGCCAAGGAAACCAGTGTGTTCCCTGGAAAGGAAACCACAGTGCCTTTGGCTGTTAAGACACCCCCTCCTTCCCCCACCAAAAAAAAAAAAGAGTTCCCTCCAAAACTGATTTCCCCAAAACTGTCGAGTCGGCAGCCTCCTGCCTCCTCCCTGAGCCTGCTAAAATTATAGAAGATGAAATCTGCCCCTGACCTTGTGCTTTTCACCTCTTTTTTAAACATTCCACTGTAGCATGAGGACATGTTTTGTTTTTTCTTATTTATCTTCCTCCCATGCCAGCTGGGGCTCCGAGTCCTTCTCTCCTCTTGTTGACTGGAGCCAGAAGGGGAAGGACTTCCACTTTTTTCTGTTGTTGTTGTTCAGCTGTCAGCAAAAAGAAAACAAGCAGGTTATATTTGGAAAGCAGAGGGTCTCAGCCACCAGATCGCTATGTCCAGGGCAGGTCACAGCCTTGTATCCCCTCACGCGACAAAGGCTTGAAATATGACCCACAGATTTGCAGAGAGATGGAAGCTTTTGCAGGAGGCCTGTCTTTACTCACGCGGACTTTTAAATGCCTTTGGAGGATCATGGGGAATTCTCCACTGGTTAGGAAAGGGATGGTTCTAGAAAAGAATCCTCTGGAACACCGCTAGAGCAGAGCAGTCTGGTGGAGGCAGGGTCTGGAGGACTCACGTGTCGTTTCCATCCATCTTCTGATCCCTGTGCAAGGAGGCAGGGAGCTTTCACCCTGTTCCACAGACAAGGTGCCTGGGCCTCAGCAGGGGTTTTGAGATCGGCTAAGAAGTGGAGTTGGGATTCACAGCCAAGGGCCCAGGGACCCCGTGGGTCAGTTCATTAGGAGACAAAACGAAATAGGAAAGAAAGAGAGAGAAATGTGGCCAGGGTCATTTCAAGATCCCTGATGCTTTGCAGGGGAGACGGTTAGGGAAGGAGAAGGATGTAAACAGACCTTGGTCCCAGACCCAGACACGCTTCTCCCCGTCTCGGGCCCGGGTCTCCCCCCTCTGAACAACTGGCTCAGGCCTGATGCCTCTGGAGGCCCCGCCCAGGTCTGTCCCACGGTCAGTGTTCCCAGAGCCACTTTGTTTTGGTGATCTGAGCAGTTAATTTTTCACCTAGAAGTGACTCTCTGTTCCGTAAGTAATTTTAAACAAATTCTGTTCCTGTCCCTGCACTTCCGTGGGGGAAAAAACAAGACCCAGCTGGGTTTTCCACCATCCTCAGCAGACAAGGATTTGCAGGCAGTAGGCGCTCTGGGCTGTCCGCCCTGAGAGCCCTGGGCAGCAGGCTCTGGCGCTCTATTCGGGGAAACAGCCACGAGGGGCATGATGACCCGACCTCAAGTCAAGCAGATGAGTCCCAAACAACTGTCTTGCTGGGCCTTGAGTCCCTTTCGGCCCCATTCTGGGCTTTTGACAGATCTTTCCTGGTGATTCCTGAACCCCTCTGTCAGATCTTGCTATTAGCATGAGGCTCTCAGAGTGTAGAGTAAACTAATGAATTACAGCATGATTACACAGCACATAATTAACTTTGTAATTAATATGCAACTGCCACTTAAGCTAAAACACTGCTTATAGAGACGTACGGCAATAGTAAATCACAGGTCAGAAATAGCACTTTGGAATTTTCAAAAGAATGAGCGTAAGCAGGGAATCACTTAAGGCAGCAGGGCGAGTTAATTAAAAAGCAGATGAATAGTGAGCGTCCTGCTTCATCTCAGTACCTTCTCCCTTAAGAAAGACCCCGATGCTGCCCTGCCAGGCTGGCTGGCCAGGCCTGGTCAGAAGAGCCCTGGGCATGTGTGGTTTTATTTCCAAAATAAACAGGCCTTCCTTGCCCCAGCCCAGCCCACCCCCATGTCTTGGCCCTCTGCCCAGCCACACCACCCCTGCTAGGGGCCTGGCTCTGCCCCGCCACCTCCAGAAAGTTTATGGCACTGCCCCCAGCCCAACTCTGGGCCTTCTAGGGTCTAGCCCCCGTGGTGGGCACTGCCAGCAGATCACTAAGTACAGCTTGTCTGCCTTCCCCTGGATTCTAGGCTTCTGGGACTCAGGGATGCCACCTCTTTTGTTGTTACTTAATTACTCCTTTCTTCCTCACCCTCCTCCCAGAGCATTAAAGCTAGAAACCACCTTAGGAGTCGTCACACCCAGCCCCCTCTTCACCAAGGCCAGACAGTTGAGGGGCTGAGGGTTACGGTCACAGGGTAATGTGGGCCCGGACCTGGCAGGCATTCCTCCCCTGCATCCTGTTCTAGCCCTGTATAGGGCTGGGTGGGCCTTTGAAGTGAGTCAAACCTGGGTTCCAATCTCAGCAACCCCACCGCCCCACTGTGTGACGTTAGGCAAGTTACATAACCTCTCTGGGCCTCAGTTTCCTCATGTGTAGTCTGAGCAATGATGCCTACCTCCCGGGGTCCGGGTGGGAATTAGGTGAGAAAAACAGGAGTGAAAGGGCCTGGTGCAAAGTGAGTGCTCACTAAATCCTGAGTGTCCCCTGCCGTCCTCAGAGGTTTAGAGGGTGCGGGAAGACGCACGTGACATCTCAATCAGTCCCATCCTTCAGGGGCTGAGAAAACAGGCCCAAGAGGTCAACCGTGCGTCCACAGCACTGCATGTGTAACTGGCATGATGGGGCCCCCCGAGAACGGATGCGTGTCCAACCTGTCCACATGTCCAACTCTAGGCCGGGCACAGCCAGGGCAAAGCTGGCATGGGGCAGTGCCCAGCAGACAGCTGAACTGGAGCTGGGCCGTGTGCAAAGCCGCTTTCCCAGCCCCCAACCCCTGGATGGAGTGGAGGTAGCTTGATTTAGGGGACGGATGCTGGGCTCTGAAGTCTGACAGACAGGCTCGAGTCCCAGCTTCGCCATTTCCTGATCTTGAGCAAGTTCCTTAATCATTTTGAGTCTTATTTTTCCCATCTACAGACGATGCGAATCATTCTGTGTTGTTACAAAGATAATTCACAGAAAACACCAAGTGCGCTGCCGACACACAGCAGATGCTCTGTGATACCTGTTACTGCTCTTCTTGTTCACAATTATGAACACAGCGACTTCTGAGTGGTTGCTGGATGGCTACCCACGCCCACAGCCCCAGGGAGAGAACGCAGGCCTGTGCCCTCCCTTTAGACTTCTTGCCTTAGGTGGGGCAGGAGAGCCAGCCTCCCCAGCCAACCCAGTCTCTGCCTCGGGCACCTCAGTTGACATTCCAACTCTGGCCTTTGCCCTTCCAGAAGGTGACCCGGGCCTCTCTCCTCTGGACCTGGGCCAGCCTTGCTGGGGGTGGGCAGCTGCAACTCCTGCCTGGTTGGGTACATCAAGGTGGTGGTGGCTTCAAGAAGCTGGCTGTGATATTGGATTCAGAAACCAGGGCCCCAGTCTTCTCGGGCAGTGGGTTTCTGATCTTGGTGCAGGGGCCCTGTGACTTCTCTTCCCGCAGACACTTCAGTTTCTGGTCCCCCAGCCTGCCAGCCTGCCAGCCTGCCCGTCTTCCCCTGCAGTCTCTCTCCCTGCTTTTCAGCCTCTTCACCCTACAGCTACTCCTCTTAGGTCGGCATTTGTCAAAGCCATTTCTGGGGAAAACTAGCTCTGTGTGATTTTCAAATGTGTTTAGCGAAAAAATTGTATTGCGCTCCGGTCACTTTGAAGAAGGCCAGATTCTTTAAGGCCCTTCGACTGCCAGTGTGCCTCGTACTCTCTCAAGGAGGGTGGGATATGCAGCTTCCCCTCAGCCCACCTGACCACATGAACCCATGGCCAGGGCACAGACCTCAGGCCATCTGGTCTGGGGTGTGCTGGCCCCTGCCTCCCTTTTTCCCTGGAATAGGCAGTGTGCCGCCTCTGGTTTCCCTAACTGGACAGACTCCACATGGGCATCCAGGCGCTGCTCTGGAGTAGTAGTGCTCAGCTTACACTTCCCAGAGCTCTGACCCTATCCCTCCTTCCTTCTGGAACTTTCCACAACTGGCTTTTGCCTCAAGGACAGATCCCTCCTGCTCCTAAACCCGGCATTGTGGCTGGTGGGCACAGGACTCCTGCCTCAGCCACCCACATCCTCTGAGGCCTGGCACCAAGCCCACAGGGTGGTTCCCAGAGGCACCCATGCGAGGGACATGGAGCAGGCAGCCTCGCCCCCACCCCTCCACCAGAGCCCTGGCCCCTTTCATTGTTGCATCAGCTGAGCTTCTGCCTAAGATGTTGTTGCAAGATTAAAAAATAAGTTTCAAAAATAGGTTTAAAAAAAAAAGTTGAAGGTCTGCAGTGTCTAGGGTGGTGGCTTTTAACTCCCGCTCGCCCCCCAGCAAGCACCGGCTCCTCTCTGGCCCTGGCTTCCTTCTGCTGTGATGGAGAAGATAAGGCCCACCTGCCCTGTGTAGAGCCCGTGCCCACATGTTGGGGCTGTGCTCAGTGCTTCCTATTCACTAACTCTCTTAACGAGCGCGGCAGCCTATGCAGTCGGTACCATTGTTGTTGCCTCCCTTTTACAGATGGGGAGACGGAGACAGACAGAGGGCAGCGTTTTGCCCCATGTCACAGAAGCTAGCTAGTGACAGAGCCAGGATTTGAACCCAGGCAGCCTGCTGACCTTAACCGCGAAGCTGTACTGCCCTGGGGAAATGAGGCAATGACGAGGGTCAGGTGGGGTTGTGACACCAGTGCTTTGTAAACTGTAGAGTGCCTTGCACAGTTAGAGTGTCAAGTCAGCACACGTTTTTGGAGCACCTAGGGTGAATTTTTGTCTCTCAGCAGACATTCAGAAAGCATGTTTTCAGGTCGCCTGTGGGGTACCCAGCTTGTCCCTGGAGGGTGCCAGGGATGGGGCCCCTACTCCCAGCCTGGGTCGGAGGTGGCCTAGTCCCTGAGTAACCTCATGCCCAGAGAGTCCCTGAGTGCAGATGAGATGACAGGCAGGGTGATGGGCACCAGACAAGGCTGACTTACCCCCTGTACATGGGCCTTCTAGAAAGAGGCAGGACTTGTGCCAGCGTCAGCCCAGCTGGGATGCCAAAAATCCACACGGAGCCATGAGGACTTCACAGGGCTTCTGCAGAAAAATCCACAGATGTTTCCCAGTGCGAGCAGAGCCCCTGCTCTGGGCCAGCTTGGCATGGCCTGCCACGATCTCCCTGCCCTTGCCCTCCCCCACCTCGAGGCTCCTGAAGCTCCCCCGGGCTGGCCCCCACCCTAGCTGTCTGTGGCTGCAGGCCTGCCCTGGACAGGCACCTGCAGGGGGTACCTAGACATGGTTGGGGCAGAAAACGCTGAGAAGTTCAGGGTAGCCAGGGCTCCCAAGGCCTGAGTATAGGTCCTGGCCCCACTTCTGACCCAGAACAGGTACTTCAAGGCTCTGCTTTGCCTCCACCCCCACCGCTGCCCTGGGCCTCAGTTTCCTCATTATGTAAATGACAGATCTGAGCAAATCCCCAGGTCCATTCTAGATCTAAGCCAGGAGGACTGTCCCTAGAGCTGAAGCTGTTTAAGAAATCTTCAGGGTATTTACAGCCTTCTAGAGGACACCAGATAGTGGTCAAGGAACCGTGGCTCCATCTCCAGCTTCATCCCACCCTGTGTCCTCTGAGTGCCCTCGGGGAACTGTTTCCACCCTCCCTCTTCTCCACTTCCAAAGTGGGGAAGGCATCTGAGTCTTTGGAATCGCCTTGAGACAAAGCCAGGCCAGAGCCACTGCACTGTCCTGGGGAAGGCCTGCGGCCCGGGCCCAGCACCAGACAGCGTCAGGCAGGACTGGGACTCCCTGTCTCAGCACTGTCCTCCATCGGCCAGCAATGACAGTCACCTTTCTCACATGCAGGGTAATTGGGACCAGAGAAGGAAATGTGAGGAAGGCTAACATATTCCCATGGAGAGCATGATGCAGTAGAACATGACGGGTGGTGTAACCAGGTTGGGGTTCAAGTCCTGCCACTGCCACTTCTCAGTAGTGTGACCTTGAGCAAGTCTTTGCACCTACGAGCCTCATTTTCTTCATC